TTAAACGACACTGGCATCACTGACCTCCACCCAGTGCTACAGGAAGCAAGTGGACTACCTGCTGAGCTAAAATCCTCTCTGTCTTGTCTTGACAGGAGAGTCTACCACTTTGGCAGCTGCAGGTCCAGTGGAGCGTGGCCAACCAGAGTCCGGAAGAGACGGAAGCTGTCTTCAAGGTAGTACACCTGAATCCACCACATGCAGTTTCAGTCAGCTACTGCACAGTGAAACATTCAGCACATAGTTTACACTGGAACGTTTCTTGGCTTGGCTGGAGAAGTAGTTCTTAGTAGCTTCTATGATTGTAGAAAACTGGTGATGTCATTTGGAGCCAGAGTCTGGGCAGTAGTTTTTCGGGAAGTGGAGCTGCGGTATCGAGTTCCTTCCATCCATACAACTGCCCCACCCAATCGCGAGCAGCTCCATTGATTGCTAGCAAACCGTCAATCATGCTGTCAATCATGACGTCATTGCCACTTTTGATAGCATCGATAACTAACTAAATCCAAATTTATCTGAAATATGAACACTTGAACATACATCAGCATGATAAGAATTGACAGAAACCATCTGACAAAAATTTGAAGGGTACTTCTGTCTTTTAGTTTGGCCCATGTCCCATGTGCTAACATGGAGGGGGGTGGGGTTTTACTGACTTATACTGCAGCCAGCCACCAGAGGGTGGTAAAGATGTTCTGACTTCACTTTTAAGGGGCTGTCATGTTGTCCATCTTGCGGTCATTGTGAAAACCTATGCAGAAATCCCATAATCTTTCTGGTCAGTAATATAAAGTACTGTGTAGAGATAAACTGAAATCAGAAAATGCAGGTTCTGTCAATGCTTCCAGGCAAATAACTATAGATGAATAGCCCCTTACGACTGCAGTGTTTTGGCCTCCAAAATGAGACTGTCTTGCAGACGGTTTGTTCTCTTGTCTGTTCCCAGAGAGGTCTGATGTCTGCAGTAGCGGCTGTTGCCATGGAGATGAAAGAGAGCTTCCTTGATTGGTCGTACAGCACCGGAGGCTACAAGAAAGCTAGAAGGACCTTTACAAGGTAAAAACTAATCACTTTGTCTGCTGATGTTGTCGTTACTTTAAGTGATAAATACGACAAAACAGAATGCAAATTTAATGGGTCCCAGAACACTGTGGCAAAATGCAAAAATAAACTCCAGAGAAGTCTATCCTGTGACAAACCTGTGGATTCTAAGCTAGAAAAACTTTATTTTTTTCCTTCTGTAGCTTACAGGAAAACCGTCCCTTGTCCAAGGCCTTTTTCACCAAAATGATTGAGATCGAGAAGGAACAGGTATGTATAGCCACTGCTGTATTTAATATGTGAAAGCTCTAATGTAACTGCATCTCAGTCTTTAGATTTAAGGTGGAGAACAGATAATCTTGATAATAGTTTGGACTCTGAACTGCCGTTTGATTGACACATTGTTACAGCTGTTTCAGAAGACTTTTATCTCCGCCAGAAAGAAGAAACAGATGGTGGACTTTGATATTATTTGTATTACTGATGAGGTGAGACAATCCTGAATAGTGATAACAACTTTGTTTGTTCTTCCAGGAGACTCCGAAGATGAACAATCTAAGGAACTACTATGAGAGGGCCCTGCAGGAGTTTGGTACCTCAGACGATGGTGAGCAAAGTTTAAATGCCTTAAAGGAATACTTCATCCCCCCCAAATGAATTTGATTTTTTTTTTCTCTCGTCTCCATGGTAAACAGAGAATCCAGAAACGCAAAAAATTCTTGATGAAGTAAGTCATAGGGGTCCACATTTAACAGCGAAACTTTATCGAAACATCCATTTTTCACACAAGTCAACCGAAGCCAGACTGTAAAAACAGTAATTTTTACTAGCTAAAAATGGGAGCTGTTGGTCTTCCACTGCCTTGATCAGCTAGTTAGTTTGTGTTATTCTGTGACGTTGGTGCTTTAAAAGGTCAGTTTGGATTCATCAAAGTCACATAACGCAAACAAACTACCAATTGAGGCAGCACTAGCCTAGCAGCTTGCGTGTTCACCGAGGTAAAATTAGTTTTTTTCAATGGAGTTTGGCTTTGTTGAGAGCACAGGTAAGTTTCACTTTTTGTTCAAATGGGGCTGTTGTGAAACACGATCCCCATTTTTGTATTCTTCATTCACTGTGGAGGCATGCGAAATAAAGTTTTCGTCACAGAATTCAACATAACATGGGAAGAGTAATTGATATTTGGGGGTCATTTTGGGGTGAGTTATATCTCACAGGGAACATATGTCAAAAAGAAAAAGCCTTAGTTAAAAAATGTATCCACAACATTCTGTTAATCAAGTATTAAGGAGTAAATTTCAAGTTTCCATCAAACAAAACAACTGCAAAAAAATGTGTCAGTGCCAAATTATTTAATAGTTACCTGACCAGATACAGACCAGATTGATCTGTAGCTGGACCCCACACAAACTAACGTCTGGTTACTAGGCCAAAGAAAAAGCCATCAATAGATAAAGGAAGTTAAAGAACTCCTGTTGAGTATCAGATTATGTAATCATCCTTGCACACTTCCACCTTTTTCGCTTAAAATATTTTCTGTTGTTTTTTATTTCCGTGAAGATCTGTGGCTGCAGTACATCCAGGAGGAGCTGGGACCCCTCGGACAGCCAGAGAACTGTGGCAAGATTCACTGGAGAGCCATGAAGTTTCTGGAGGGGGAGAGCGTGGAGAGGTTCACTTCCAAGTATACTCTGATTCAGACTGGCCACTTATGAAGGGTCCGGGTAGTGTAGATCGAGGCCTTTAAGTTTAGATAACGACAGCCAGTGTTCAACAACTGAGTAGAGGTTTATCAGCTGAATAAGCAGCACATGTTTCAGAGCAGGTGTTCATCTTGGTCTTGTTGAAGTCTGGTGCTGTGCCCATCCATGAATTGCCGGTATTGCAGTTTCTGAAGTTTGCGGTCCATCAGGAAAAGGCCTGTCGATTCTTCTTCAAAGGTTTCAGCGGTGTTGGGGGAAATTTTCTTGATTGAGCCACCTCTGATGTTTGCAGTTTCAAGCCGTCATATTTCACAGCTGTAATTCACAACTTTTTATTTTCAGTTACAGCAGTTCGTGCTGCATTTGATACCAGACTGATTTTGGGAACATGTATTGTAAGGATGTCCAATTTGATTGAATTCCACATTTATTTGTCAAACTTTGATGCTGTTATAATATTAAAACATTCTTTCATTCTGGTTTCATTCTGGTTCGATCTCTGTTGTGGTCCCTCTGACACAGTGATATAACAGATACACACACAAAAAAAAAAAAACAGCACACACTTTTTTCTAAACTCCAGAATTACACGAATTACACAATCGTTTTCAATAACCCACTCTTTTAAAAAGGTTCTTGGCCGGTAAGTGAAGTTAATTTAAATTACTGTGGCAATAAATATCCTTTATCCTCTAAAATTCTCAGTTCACAGGTCGATCCAGTGTTCGCAGTCAAAAGCAAGACTCATTCAGATTCCTGCTTGTCATGGTGCAAAATGTTGCCTTAAAAACACACAACCACACATATAAAGCAGCAGTGGTATGAGATAGTTGCACATCTATAAAGTGTTTCAATGGCCAGCTAAAAACTGTCCATACACATCTAAATATATTTACAATTAGTTTTTAAGGACACTTAAAATTGTAATGTCTTACAGCAGCGCGGCGTCTACAGTAATGTAACAGCTATGAGGTATGGCAAGATGTTAATTTAAAAAGCATTATATAAATGGATCATGAAATTGCACTTTAAAGTCTAATAAAATACATAATACACCTATAAAATTCTATCACAAGGAATTTTACGTTTTTCTCTCTGACACTCTGCTTACAGGCATGGACAGTGTTACTCAGTGGCCTCCTCTATTCATTGAAAGAGATGTTCATAAGACAACCAGGTGGCCAGTTTTAGGGGGAATGATATCAATGAAATATATTTAGTTTGAGATATTAAAATACCTCTGCACTCTGACACTAGTTTCAGAAGAACTGGCTTCTCTGGATTTCTCAGTCAGGCTTTAAGGAAATGAGTGCAAACATGCAAACAACCAAACATTTAAAACAATGTACTTTTAAGGCAGAAGTTGTTATGGCAAAGGACTTTTTTTTCGATGATGATCACTTTAGAAAATAAGTGAATTAAGATGTTGAGGGAATGCCCAGTTACATCCTGTCAGCTGAGGTTTGATATACTACTACTACTGTGTGTGAGGGGGGTTTCTAACAGGGTTGGCAGACATACTGGTTTGCTGATATATTGAGCTACTTAGGCTATTTAAAACAAATTGGCCCGTTTACGGCTGAGATAATGGAGCGTCTGTGCTGACACTGGGTGTTTTTGTTTCAGAGAGCAAACCTGAGAAAATATTAAAATGTGTTAAGGACATATTTTTAGTCAGCAGCTTCAGCCTGCAACACGTGTGACGAGCTGCTGAGTCACAATGTCCCATGATGTTCTAAATGCTTTATCAGAGGCCTATTAAAAATAACATTTAGAGGGAAACAATGAATCCTTTTAATAGTTGAAGCCAACAGTTTTAAAGGGACAGTTCAAACCATATAAAAAAACACATATTTTTCCTCTTATCTGAAGTGCTGTTTTTCAATCTGAATTGTTTTGGTGTAAGTTGGTGAGTGTTAGAGATATAGGCCGTAGAGATGTCTGCCCTTTTTTTCATATAATGGTACCAGATGGCACTTAGCTGGTGGTGCTCAAAGCGCCAAAAAAATACATTTGAAAAACTCAACAGCAATGACTCTTTAGAGAAATCATGACCCAGTTACTAGAGATAATCCACAGACCTTGTTGTGAGCAGTTTCATGAAGGAACTATTTTCTTCATACTGAACTACACCTGCCAACTGTATCACTGCACAGAAGGAAGCATGCTTCTACTGCTAGCTCACCTAGCACAACTGGGCTAGCTAATGTTACAACAGTAGACTAAATAAAATAATAGATGTAGCTATGGTGATGTCACTCATTGGTTTGTGGACTGCCATTTTGAAGCCTCAAGTGTGACATTTTGGCCGTCGCCATCTTGGATTTTTGGAAACAGAGGTGACCATATTTGGACGAGAGGGTGGAGCTGTAGAAGAGCGAGGGGTGGGTCGGACTCAGACTGCAGTGATGACTCGCAGGCAGTCTGTCACTCAAAACGTATTTTTTATTACCCTCCCCTGCACGACACAGTTGTCACGAATGTTGAAATGAGCTACAGAGATCTGCTGTAAAGTTGGGCATTTTAACATGGGGGTCTGTGGGGATGGGCTCGCTTTTGGAGCTAGCCTCAAGTGACCTCAAAGAACTTCACATTGGCTTCATTTTCCAGCCCCGGAGGATGCTGTTTGGCTACTGCTCAGCCGAGGAGGACGCCATTAATGTGTACATCTGGAGCACAGGCCTCTCTTCAATGAGTAGATGCACACTTCCTTCAGCACAGTAATACAGTCAGCGAGTGTTTCAAATGTTTGGAGATTCGAGTGCCACAAGCCGAGTGCCATCTAGTCAACTCACACCAAAACAATCTAGACTTATAAACAACGCTACAGGTAAGAAGAAAGATATATTGTTTCAATTTTGGGGTGAGCTGTCCCTTCAATAAAAATTTGAATATTTTGAATACTGGCACATGTAATCTGTCAGCGTCAGTAAAAATACTGTCGGTCTACCACCCCCACGTCACCCCCAGCCCACCACTCCACACATCTTCAGAGCTTCTTGAAGAGGATGTAGGTGAAGAGTACCAATACGCCTGCTGACAGAAGTCCAATCACACACTGGTGGATGGTGATGACGTTCTCCAGGGCGTGGATGCGCTCCTCCATGGCGTTGGTGTGGATGTAGTCATAAATGGAGGCCCCGATGCTCCACACCGCCCATACAGCATCCACCAACGCTTTCATGGTGGGAGAGACCATTGAGAGGGCCGCCTGCAGCCGGGCACCAGCCGCATCCGCTGCTTATTGGCCCTACTGCACTACAGAGAGAGAAGAGGGTGACACATGGTGCAGTGAGGAGAGAGCTTTGTGTGGGTGCACTGTTAGCCTCCGAAATAGCAATTACAGTTACACATCTACAAACGTGAACAGAGCATGTGATCTGAGCTGTGAGAAGAGTGAAAGAGTGATTAATAATGCCATCTTTATACTTTCTCTTTTTGTTCTGATTCATGAAGGAATACAATTAAAAGATTTCTGTGATTTTAGTAATTTTATAGTTGCCATTTGACTTTTATTATAGGAGTACAGTGTTTAAGTATAATTTTGAGGTACTTTTACTTTACTTGAGTGTTTTTTTATACTCCAGTACATTTACTTGACAAGTGTAGTTACTCTTCACAGTGGCAACCCCAGAGATTTTTCACAAAATTGGTTGCATTGGGGTGCCATACCAAAACCAACAGCCATATTGAATTTCAGGAATTCTATAACGCTGTTGCAGTATATGGGCTAGTTGAAAACTGTCAGTATGAAAGTTAAAGTTTCAGTGTGTAGGATTTAGGGGGATATATTGGCAGAAATGGAATATAATATAGATATGCTTTCTGTGGTTTATAATCACCTGAAAATGAGAATTGTAATATTTTTGTTACCTTAGAATGAGATGTTTATATCTACATAGGGAGTGGCTCCCTATCCACAGAGGTGGCCATGTTGCACTTCCATGTTTCTAAAGTAGCCTAAAATGGACAAACCAAACACTGGCTCTGGATAGGGACATTTGCATTTTTTCACGTTGGCCACTGTACATAGCAGCCTCTCTGCAATGAGCATTCAGTGTTTCTAAAATGTTTAATCACCTGGTTTGTTTGTTTTGGAGAGGAGGAGACTGCTGCGGATAATTAAGCTTCTGCTAAAATCCATCCAAACAATAAACACTGAATTCTAACCTAGAAAGGTTTTAGCTGGTTGCAATTTGCAATCCTCACCACTAGATGCCAGTAAATCACTCTAAATCTTAAACACTGTTCCTTTAAGGAATCACACAGGCTGCTGATATACTTTAGTTTATTATTTTTTAAGTTAATGTTACTAATTCTATGATGTGCATACCTGTATAGTTAACATTTTGAGTTCCATAGCAATCCTTTTTTAATGTGTGTTATATATCTGTTAGGGATGCACCGAACATTCGGTAACCAAATATATTCGGCCGAATATTGCAAAAAAACACACATTCAATATTCGGTGGAATAAGTTAAAAGCAAGGCCGAATAATAGCGGCGTGTTTTGATAACGCAATCAAACAGCGTGCCGTGACGGGCGGAATAAAATGTCGGCAGTGTGGCGATCCGTCCGTCACGGCACTCACATTTGCGACTAAAAATAGTTTTGAGCGAGCAAAATAGGCTTAAATCATTCAGCACGCTGTGCGAGCAGCCTACAGATTTCAACCAGCAGCAGAAACGAAAGGCGAATCCCACCGATTGTGGGTTGAACGGGGGTCACAGACACAGACAGTAACGTTAATGTATTCCTGTCAAATACGGCGGCCATCGGCTTACCGGGCGACGGAGAAGTCGGCTCCAATAATATCCTCTTCTTGGTGTCATGACTGCCCAGAAGTACCTGAACAGCCGAGCCAGCCGAACACAGGTATGTGACGTGTCAGAGGAGAAACGAGCCGTTCACATTACTCTCTTTCCGGCAGTAACGGCCCACAAACCTCACCGCACTTTAGGGACTGTTCTTTACTTATGAAGGGACTGTCAGGGGAGGAGGGTGGCTGGTTGATTCTTATTTTATTTATTTATTTTATTTTGATCCCCCCTATGTTAATCACTGATTGATGCTGTTTTTGAAGTACGAATAAGTCAATAAATAATTTATTCCATAGAAATATCATTGATGTATTATAGAAAAGTGATTTATCTTTTTATAAATGACAAAAGGCACATCTGCCTCATTTTTGCTGTGGTATCTTGATACTACTCAGAACCTTGATATTTTCATTGGTATTGTACTTTGGGTCCCAATTTTGGTACCATGACAACACTAATCTGGAAGGGGTTCATCTGCAAACACTAATGAAAAACTAAACAACAATATTCGGTATTCGGTACTCGGTATTCGGCCAAGCGTTTAATATTATTCGGCTTCGGACACAAATTTTCATTTCGGTGCATCCCTAATATCTGTACATAGCCTACATATTTTATTGTTCTTTAAATAAGCTGCTTGTCCTTTTCTTTAAAAAGACAGGAGGCTACAGTTTTATTTTGAAGGAGTACATTGGTTGAAAGAAAAAAAATCATTCACTGAGAACAAGTCTACAAGCAAATTATCTCCATCTTTAACATTAAAATGCAGGTTACACATTGATGCATCAATAGTAATCCAATAGTTTCCGAGTGCTCTTATTTTTGATACTATCACTACATGTTGTTGACAATACTTTGAGCAAACATTTAAGATGCAAGACTTATGACTTCCTGTGCTTCCTCTTCACAGGCTCTGCCTACTTAATCAACAGATAGAGTAGGCTATAACTTTCAGAGTCTTTCTGCCTTTAACACAGTCTTTACATTCCTCTCCTTCTCTCTGCTCTACTGGTCGACTGACTGACTCCCCCATCACACGCTGACGTCATGTCATTATTAATAAACTTGGTCCTGTAAAGAATAGGCTCCACATGATCTGACATCTGGTCTTGTGAAATCAGAAAACTCCGAATCTGCAGAGCAACAGGAACCTGAGTTTGAGCGAAATGACTGGTGTTGTACACAGAGATCAAAACGCACAGGCTGTGTGGCGGAGACATTTGTTACTAACGGACTCCAAACTCACCGACGGCTGTCAGACGTTACTGTGATGATGAAGATGACGATGAACATCCGTCCTGCTGTTGCTGGAGTAATGAATATGTTGTTTAGGAGAAGCCAGGATTGTTCCTGTCAGGTATAAAGTCGGACATTGCTATTCGGCGTCAAGTCAGCCTTAATCCAACACTTTGCGCGCGGTCAAACCTTTAAAAATAAAACGGTCCTATTCCGACATCAATTAGAGGACATTTTGTTGACAGAGTGTCCAAGCTCTTAGAAATGTGCACAGGAGAAGGAATATGACGGCAAAAGACACCACATAAAAAACACAACTGCTATTCACATAAATAATGGGTCTTTCAGGGCACAACATGAGGTCATTTATTTTATTTTGACAAGAAACTCGGCCAACTTCCGGTATTATTGTGGGATACTTGTCTATATTAAGCAGCTGACTGAAACCATATGAGAGCGTCACCATGGGCACTGAAAGTGGAGCATGACCTCGAGAATAGAATAGGATGCGAAATAATAAAAATAAAATAGAAAATTAAAACGACACAAAAAGTTGAGCAGAGTGCAAAAATCTAATAATAATAATAATAATAATAA